ATGACTTGTGTTTCATTCTTGATAATTACCGCTAGTCAACTACTCAAATTTAAAAAAAGCTAAGGCCATGTGTGGCTATGTCTTAATTGTCTTAATTGTAAAAATCCCCAAGCTTAAGAATCACTTATACAAAGCATGTGCATCAAATGTAATGAGCCCAAGATGTAGTTATCACTGTTATTTAGTTATTGAATCTTAAATGTAAGAAGAATTCTTCAAAAATACAAGAAGAACTTAGGGAAGGTAGTTGCATTCCTATCATTTATTGTTTTACCCAGACCAATGTCATTCACTCTCTAATTTTATTTTTAAATTGCAGTTCTATACTTTGCATATTCTTGCATATTCTTATGTTTAATTTAGCTGGCTAATTAATAACATTGGAAACATAATATAGCTTGTATGTATTTCTAAAAGCTTAAGATAGGTCAATAAAGTATTATTATTACTATATATATATATATATATATATATATATATATATATATATATATATATATATATATATATATATATATATATATATATATATATATATATATATATATATATATATATATCAATCACGTAAGTTTTCTCATTACTTTGCACAAAAAACACACTGTCGTCACTCTGGAATTATAATGCGCTAAGGGACCGGTCATTATTTATCGAAGGGGGGGAGGGGAATTTTTTCTTTTCTAAATTTTTAAAATTGAAAGCCCCCCCTAAAAGAGCAGAAATTTAATGATGACCCCCCCTGCATATTTGAATATTTTTCTTTGACCCCCCCCATTTCTCTTTTACTCGTCAAATGGGGATACCCAGGCGTTATAGTGTTAATTATTAAATAAGAATATGGAACTGGCAAGATATTAACGTCGACCAAAAATATATATTAGCGGAAAATTATAATTAAAAGAGGAGTATTTTTATATATAACACTAAAATCAGGTTTCCATTTGGTCTGGGCGATTGTAACCATGTTTAAGGCTGCAACTAGACTTGATGGTACGAAGTATTGCCATAGCAGCTGCGCGGCAACAATGAGAGCAACTATCAGTAATATTAGCAGCAAAAGCAGTGGCGTAACGCTCATTGGTTGGGGTTAGTTCAAAAACTAAAGGCCCCCGACAGTTAGAGCCCCACATCAGCGACGGGCTATCGCCCAGAAAATTAGAAAACGTAAAAATGCAGGTGAAGAATCAATGGGAAAATGAAAAATTAACAATGCTAAATAATAAAGCCTTCATCGACAACGGTAGCTGATTTTTTTGTGGGGAAAAGGTATCGAAGCGCAAAACTTGCTGCAGCTAGGCAAAGCATACAATGGCAGAATGAATACCCAGACCGAAGCACTGATCACAAGGCATAAAACAACCCCCTTTGATCGATATGACGTCACAGACTCCCCTCAGCGGATGTGGCCTGCATAAATGTATTTAACCACATCAAGAGGTGATGTAATAATACATTGTCATTGCCAATTTAACTAGTCTGCAAACCGTAAATCTGATTTGCATACAGCACACACAAGACAAAATGAATCCAGACTATTTCACATCAGTGACCATGATTTAGTTGCAACATTTACAACCAAATGGATACAAGGTTATTCTTATTAAGCAAATTCCTTCAAATTTTTTTTGCAACCCCCCCCCCCGTCAATTTCTTGAAAAAATTTAATAGCCCCCCTTCTTGCCATTTATTTCTACATATGGTCCCCCCTTATTTTTTCCCTCCCCCCCTTCCATAAATATTGACCGGTCCCTAACTGCTCATAAACAAAGACAAGTGCATGAACGAACAAGAAACATAATATCGAATTTTACAGAAAAAGTTGTGGACAGATAATGAAGTCCGGGCATTTTTTAAGAATTCGTCCGTGGGGAGGGGAGGGGAGGGTGGGATCTACAAAAAAGAACCATCTATACTGAGCGTGGAGAGATAATAGATGGTTGTTGGTAACAAAATGTGGCACATGCAGTAACATACATATGTAATAGTAAATTATATGATAAACATATGTAATGATAGGGGGTTCTGGGGATATTCTCCCACAGAAATTTTCAGTTGTATTTTTCTACCCCTAAGACTGCAATTCCTGCATTTTCTGAAACAGATTTTTGGGTATATATGCTGTAGATAGAATGAGCCTTCAGTTAAGTACTTGTTACTTGTTAGTTAGGTACTTTGCCAAAAAAAACCAAATATCTTGCCCTTTGCGCGGAAATATTTCACCAAAAAAAATGACTGGGGCCCAACCATTGGGGCTGGGGGTGGGGAGGCTTTGGCGCCCATCCAGTTAATTATATTGTTAAAAATGCATGGCTTCGCTTAAATTGGTGATTCAGTCAGCTGCATTCATAGGCTGCGTGTCAGCCTCTATGCGGGCTGTTGCAAAAAGCTACAATCTTGGACAAAACCCCTGAGACCACCCAGCTAATATTACAAAGTTATTGAACATTGACAAAACAAACGTTGTCTCCCCCTCCCCCCCCCCAGTTCAATGTTGTGAACAACGCTGAAACAACTTTTGGTAATAGACCATGATACAAGCTCAACATTGAGTTGGGGGACCGCGAGTTTAAGAACGGCAACATGATTCAACAGGGAGTTTATCATAAAAATACACGAATTTTCTATAGGGGGAAAATAGTCTCAACCAGTTATGTACAAGATTGTCTGAATGTGGGAATTTTACAAGCATACCAATTGTTTGAGAGTTATGGTTAGAAAGGCAGATAGGTTAGTGTTGCGATGGAAGAAAAATTATTAAATATATGTTACACTGCAAGTACTGTAGGTAACCGAAATTTTTATCCATATTAGCAATCATTCCAGGCGATGCAAAATCTATATTTATATTGTAAGTAAAGGGAAATTAATTAGGAGGGATGAAAGTGAATTATTTATTGGACTTTTGGTAAACTTGTTTTCTACCTTATTCCATATCATAATTGAAAGCTTCGTATAGTGAATGTAAAAACATACCCAACACTAAAAGTAACCGAATTGGTCAAACTTGATAACATGGTTTGCTCAGAAAACGGCTATTCACTCGAACGTGCGAACGTTCCCTGCTCCATTTGAACCAATTAGCTACTGCTATTGAACATAGCTACAGAGTTTAAAAGGAAATGGAATCATGGACATGCTAAGCGTTGTCCACACAGCTACTTTCGTATAGGCAATCGGCACTTTTTACAGGTTATTATACAGGGTGTCCCAAAAAACCCAAAAACTATTGAAATCAGCAATAACAATTTAATTGTTAGAATTTGAATGCCTTAGCGCTCTGTTGGTTCCCACGAGTGCATAAATGATTGACATAAGTAAATTTTATGCATGAAGAAACTGTTTAAGAAGCTGTTTTTAATTCCCAGGAGCAGAAAATCGCGCACTTTACCAGGAGATATTCGTAACTAAATTCTAATACATGCACCTTCTCAATATTTTACGCATCATTACGTCCAGCTGTTTGGTAGTGCATTCAAATTTAACAATAAGTGATTTCAATAGTTTTCGTTTTTTTGGGGACACCCTGTACAGTATGGCGACCCCCCACGAGGGACAAAGGGTCGCCTGTACAATGTTCAAATTGGCCATAGTAAAGAAATGCGAGTATATCTCCATGACTTTTGGAGCATAAACCATTTATAATAGTATATAAGAACATTTCAAACGATTAACGAAAAGATTTGATGTGATACCAACGGTAAACGGGGATAGCAGCAAGATTTTATAGTAAATGATAGGTCTATAGTCATTATTTTAAATTGGAGTCGCCGTTTACCGTTGTAATGGCCTGTTTACCGTTCTTTTATCAAACCACGATAAAGATTATACCTGGTTAACCGTCATATAAAAAAATTCGGGTTAAATTATAAGTTTTAAAAACAAGTTTGAGGCTCATAAACTATAGAACAAATTACGTCATCTTATAAAAAATACCTATATACAGCAACACTTGAACGTGATATTTACATAATTGAATTAAATCCCAATGCATGTGTCTCGACCTCTATGCCCTAGTAACATGATATTACTCGCTTCTGGCAGTAGAAAACTATATATTTTAGATGAAACAACAAGAAAAATTCATGCGTTTCATGCATATATATTATGGATGTGACAAGTTCAAATATAGCCATTATATTGCTTGCTTTTCATGCAAACAAATATACATTGCTCGAAAAACAAGTATTGACGTATATATCCATCTTTCAGACTACTGGAGTGGAAGAAAATGTAAAAAGATTGAGTTATCATGCACAATTAAATTCAGTGTGTTTCAGACTGTCTGAATGTGGGAATTTTGCAAGCATAGGCTGGCTAAGACCCTCTGACCCTGTTTGTATGTTTAATGAAGGTTTGGCCCTATGGTGCTGAGTTGGTGCATGCGATACAAAGGCAAACACAGTTATTTCAAAAGATTGGCATCATACTGTACTTTGGAAATTTTACAAATGTTGCTCTAAGCTTGGGAGAGCGTCATCAAGCTCGCACATGTTATCTTTTGAGTTCGCAGAATGCATGGTCAAACTCCAAATGAACCTCTAGCCAAGAAACCAAAGATTGGTAATTTAAAATTTGAAACTTGTTAATTTCCACTTGACTAACTGCACATTAGGCTAGATTGATGTTATAATGTAATACGTGAAACTCGAAGTAGAGACAAAGACACATTTAACGTTAAGTGAAAACAATATAGATCAGCTAGTATAAAATATGAAACCAATTTATCATGTTTTCCACTGATCGCCTCAACGATACTAAAATTTGTTAGTCTTATAAGATATGACCTTCCATTTTCACAAATAAATTCTGCCATTAAACATTAGAATCCTTGCAAAATTTGTAGTACCCCCGGGCCGGAGCAAATCATGCAATTTTGAATGTTAAAAAAAGCAAGCCTCGCTTAGGTTGGTGTGATAAAAATCTCCAGCCCCGATCGGAACTTTACTAAAAAAGTTGCTGCCCCGCTTCTATATATGCGCCCCGCTTCTTCTGTGTGCCTCGCTTCTATGCAGCTCAAAAAAAGTATGCACCCCGTCCCCTTTTGCTCCGGCTCCGTATATTTGCATGGCCCCTTATACAGTAGTGGGGGCCCCCCAGTAGTGAACAGATTCAACCTCTTTTCAATAGCATGTTTTTATTATTAAATTTTATCACGCTTCACTGCATTATAATACTATACATTGTATAATATTTGTACGCATGCATTACAAAAATCAGCAATATATGCATTTAACTTCACAACAAATATGTCTTATTTACTAACTAAATGATTGGAATATAATGGCTCATACAATTAAGAAAACAAAACAATAAAAGTACGTAGCTATCGTTAAACATGGGTTATTGAGTCTAATCATGCAGGTCCAGCTTTTTTCACATGTATCATTGATATTTCACATGATTCATGCATAGTAAACGACGAATATCTCAGCTTTGAAGCAGGTGTGGCCATGGTTATCGCCTTCAGTGTACCCGTACAGATCCTCTCCATACCATACTCTCATCTGGTATCCGGAATACACATATCTGGGGCCAACATCTGAAAAGGCAAGTTGGGGTGAATTCTCAAAGTAGCCAGGGATATGATACCATCCACCGGATTGAAATGGCTTCACCAACACAGGTGAAGGGTACATGACAACGTTCCTCACATCTGTAACGTACATGTTGGTACGGTGATGGGCAGTACATCCCCAATTTGTCCTTCCATTAGCATGACATCCAATTTTTCCACGTATATGGGTCAGTCTGAAAGCTGACACAAAACCAGACTTCCCACGGTATGTAAGCAGTGCGGGGTGATTTCCCCTAGCTGAAGTACAGCCATGGCCAAGGTTTACCCATCCTCCTAAAAATCAATGGTATCTTTAGGTAAGCAAGTAATCAACGAATTTTGGGAAAATTCGAACACCATATTTACTCGATTAAACGCCACGGCGTTTAATATTAAGTTCACTTTCACCATTTATCGCCTATATCGCTGAAAATTTCGCAATTAAGGGAATACAGTCGAACCCCTATAAGCGGACACCTTTCTTAAGCGGACATCTAGCTCTTTTAAGCGGGCACACATCTCAGGTCCCATTTGTTTCCTTTAATAAAATACTATTATCATAACCCCTATTATGCGGACACCCCTCTTTAACGGACGCGGACTACGTGAGCCTCGAAAGCAAACTTGGACACTTAGGCGAGGTCCCGAAGGTGTCCGCTTGATAGGGGTTGGACTGTAATGCGAATTTCAAGGCCAGTGGAAATGGAATCTAGTCACCCCCTATATATACAAACAGGTTAATTTGGATTGAAATTTGAAGAGAAATTAGCAAGATTTTGACTTCCTTTCCCAATCAGATTGAATTAAGTGCGCAGTTTGCCCATTTTATAATTTATTTATAACGTTGTGACTTAACTAATTTGCTGGTGTAGGTATGCCCTCTTGTACATAAAATTTAAGGTTTCATATATATATATATTTACCTTCACATGCTGCTATGCAACAAAGCGCCAGCAAAAGTTTCGCCAACATTTTCTCTGACTGCTTGCGTTGATATTTTCTGCTTTAGTTTTTTCGCCCTCTTCGTGCAAGTGACTAGCAATGGTATCTGGCAAACGTACTCAGTTTGTTTTATAGACGTCTGTTAGTGATGTCATTACCTAAAGTGATTTGTCAGTATGTATGTAATTTTATCAAAACAGGGGAAATAAGGATTATTTATAATCCTTATTTCCCCTGTTATCTTGCTCATGCATTCATTTCCCCTAGCTATTTTCAAATGATGTTCCGGAAACGTATCTCAATGTCCGCTGTACGCAAATAACCGTGGCTGGAAAAGAAATAAATAAATAAAAGAAATAAATAAAAGAAAGAAATAAAGAAAGAAAGAAAGAAAGAAACAGGCTTGTTGGTACTTGATATTCGCTCGTGAATTCTGCAGTGTGTAGAATATTTATCGACAGTACATCTGGAACTGAGAGGATGTTTTTTTAATGATCTAACCATTCTGGGCTAGGCTTTTTTAAATGTTCTATTTTAGACCAAAGGAAAACTCATCTTATACTGTACCAGTCAAGACCATGGACATAATCGTTGTGACCTCTTAAAGTTAATGTGAATTGACAAAACCAATTCCTAAAACCACTTCCCCACATGACTTTATAACGAATCTATCATAATGAGTATGCGATTTTGTGTAGACTGGCAAGTTACGTCCGAGCCGAGTAACGAGCATAGATATCTTATATACACTAGATAGTGCATCTAATTATTCTGCAATTCAAAAATTGAAGCCGTGATTGCAGTCTCAGGTCGTTCCCATGAAATGAGAAGATTCGTATGTTTTCTATTTCTTAAACAGGGAACTTAAACATTAAGTTAACCCTATTCCAAATACGTTTTTAAAGTATTCAAACGATGAAAGTTATTGTTGTTTTTAAGCGTTTATTAGCGAGTGGGAACGACGAACATGGCCGCCATCTATTCAAATGGGGGTAACCGCTTGAATATTCTTGGCTTCAATTTTACTAAAAGAGATGCGCTATCTAGTGTATATAAGATATCTATGGTAACGAGAGTCAGGGAGAGGCGCGAGGGTGACAAAAATGTGTGTCCTTTGAGTATTAAGTATTGTGTGATGATTAATTCTGGCAAAGACGAAATGACAATACAACTGTAAGATGGTGATAAGCAGTTTTCGTTCTTTATGTCTAAATGTTCATGAAAACAACGAAAAAAATCGAAAATCAGGCCTTATTTAAACATGTAAAATTTGACGCGGCTTGCAAAACAAGCCAGTGGGTGCAAAACATCCCAGTTACTGTCAAGTGGGCAGACTTTTATCGGCACGAGATCGGAAAAGCAGTCGGTAAAACATATGTAATGTATAGTTATCGCTTGATATAACTTCTGCATGGCTGGGATATGATATGGGATATACTGGTATCTAATTTCCATATATTTTGATATTAACTAATAATCTACATTAGGCAAAGTGCATGGGTAAAATCAGTTTGGGCATTACACCAACTATATAGGTTAAGGGCTATTTAAATTAATAACATTTACCTATATAGTACTATCTAAGCTAAAATGTGTATGACTGATTAATTAAACGTTAACAGACACTTATGAAGACTTGATCCAAAGGTTCCTCCGAGTTCGAAATAACCGCATCTTGTGATAGATTTCGTCATCTCTGAACTCTGAATTTAAACTAGGATGACACCACGTGTCTGCAAGTTATATAGCGTGAGGTCGAGGAACCAAATGCTTTTCCAACAGGTTCAAATCCAATACGTTATGAGATATTTTATATATCTTATTCTCAACTTCGCATTTTTTTCTGGTTTCTAATGCGGTGGGTCCCATGCCCGTGAGATGCTTTAAACAAATCACTAGTAACCCGTTTAACCATATATAGACAACGTGTTAATTTGGGTAACTTTGAAAACTGTAGTATAGTAATTAGCGAATTTACTGTGTGTATCAACTAGTCTAATATAAGAATTTGTTGAAGAAAATCTACGTACGTCGCTGTGAAGAAAACCTGAACTACTTTAAACTATAACGCATTAGAGAGCTTTACCAGCAATTTGTATATTATTATTATATAGATGTCTAGTTGAAAAACCTGCTTGTATTTAAACGCATGGATTTTCTCATACTCATGTGTGAATAGAAGATGATTCTTCATCTTCTATTCACATATTTTGTGGCATGAAGTACCGAAATGATGTTGCAATGGAATGCAAATCTCACCATACAACTTTGCCGTCGACATGACGTCATTATATGATTGAGTATTAGTTGAATGATAGACAAGAATAAATATATAATTAATATTCGCTGCGTTATGTGAGCAACACCTGCAATTAAAATAGAAAATACTTTGCCCTTCATTTGGGATTGTTTCAAATGTTCACAACGAACTTAGATATATTGAACTGAGCCCAATTACACTCAAGATATACTTTAACATATGGCTGACTTTTAATTATGATTCTTGGCAAGATTAAAATTAATAGAATAGTATTATGACGTGTATCTATAACAACTGCATTAGTCCATAAGTTATTCCTGACCTTCACAGTTCACAATGACTTTCAATTCATACGTTTTTCTAGTTGCTTTTTCAATCTCTTATTTCGATTAACTCTGAAACGTCCCTTAATTTTAAACAGAACGGAGCTTGGTGGTTAGAAATGAGCATATAATCTATTTAGAAGGTAAATACGATCTTATCGCTGCGCATAGATAGATCATGCATGAATGAAGAAATTTCGTGTTTATCGCAAGCGTTCGCAATAGAATGGATTTAAAACATTCATGCAGTTATGATGAAAATATATAAACATAATTGAATCTATGAAAAGCTTGGATTCCGTGATGGGGGAAATGAAAGCCTGACACAAAACCCTAGGCATAAGATTCTCTTAAAATAACAGCCAATTAGGTTTATTTCCCGTGATAGTACTCGAGTAGCCGATATTCAGGCTTATGATTAAATAGTGTCCTTTGAAGTCAATGAAGTAATATCAAAACAATAGTCAACTTTGTGACAGGAATAAGTAGTTGTGCATTAAGTGGACAAAATTGCTCTGTTATATCCTGCAGAAGTCACATCGCCGATATTGTGATGTTACGTTATCGATGTGTCAGGGCAGATTGCCAGATTACAATCGCGGCCAGTTTTGGCCATTTCCCCTCCCTACATGGACTATTCACACTATGCCTAATTCTTAATAACTTTTACAGAAAACAAAATCTTCATGAGGGGAGACAATAACTTATGTCAGTGTTAAAGAAGACTGCATGCATAATTAAATCATACGGCACATTCAAGATTTTAATATCGTATTCAGCCGCGTTTATACTGCTTGGCGCGCATTTGCTGCGTTATATTAATTTATATACCTATGTTATATACACAGATTTATTACTAATAAATCAACACTATATGATAATATATAAGAACTCACAAAGTGCAGTCACCTTTTTATAAATAAACTTTTTTAAAAGCATGTCATTGTCATTGCAGACAGAGGCAAAAAGCACAGCCACATAGGCCTACCAGATTTATTAAGCAATCGTGAGATTATATACATGGAAAGAAATATGGAAATTATGTTAAAAGCACCCCGTATAATGACGAAAGCACCGCATATAATGCTCGAACCACTGCGTACAATGGCGAATGCACTGCGTATAATGGTGAAAGCACCACGTATAATGCTCGAAGCACTGCGTATAATAGCGAAACCACCGCGTATAACGCTCAAACCACTGCGTATCGACAAAATGCTGTTTGATCACTTACGTCAGCTATGGCTTTCCATAAAAGAAAACCAAAGATGAAAGATGATCACATTGCTTGTTTGCCTTATGCCTGTTTATTAGGCAAGAATAGCCTGCCGGCCCGGAAGCAGTGCATTGTGGTAGGCCAAAATACGCCGAAACGATCGAGATTTCATCTGCCTTATATATATATACATATACATAAAGATTAGGATTGCTGCCTCGCTCGCTCGCTTCACGCTCACTCGCTACGGCAGCAATAAAGATGTTGGTAATGTTAGTGGTGCAACACCAGATGAGCTTGCAAATAAAATTGTCGACACCATAAAACAAGCATTTGAACCTGAGACTCCAGACTCTCCAGAATTTAATCTGAAGTCATCATGGCAAGGTACTGCATATGATGGACAGTATCAAGCGAACGAATTTGGTGATACATTGCATGAAGTCCTAAATGTAGATATTGATCCTGAATTCATCTCACTGGATCAATCTTGCCATTTTAGACATACAAGATGATAAGTTAGGATCATCTTCAACGTTTTTGAAAAGGCTAATTAACCGCTCCAAGAACATTCACACAATGTTCGGTAGAGGAAAGATGCTGAGTAGCGCAATTGCCCACGAAAAGCATGTCTGACTTAAGATGACCCAAGGCAATTGTACTACCCGATTTTGGTCATCACAGTACCAACAGTTACAAAATATCATCAGTAGTTTTGCAGTGTATGCTGTGGCTTTTCGTCAGTTTGGTTACTGCGAGATGAAGGAGTACTCATCAGATCTTGGGTGATGATTTTGTGATTGACTTGTGCTCAGTCACAGATGCTATGGAATTGCTTATCAACCTGATGGTTAAAGTTCAAGGACATAACAGACCATGCTGGAAGATTTGCATATGGTGGCCTAGACTATAAAGCTCTATCTCCAAGAAATTGAAAAAGCCAACATTACATGCCCACCGGAATGCTTGAAAAACCTTTCCAAGAATATTGAAGACATTCTGATTGAAAAACAGTTCAAGGGTCAAAAATTGGTTAATGGTTGGGAAAAGGTTGACCAAGACGAAGAACACTTTTAGCGGACAGCATCAAAGAGGAAAGCCTGTTATTAATGAAGTTCAACCAGAGCAATTTGGAAATGACGATTTCAAGAAGTTTGTGGCACACATCGGCAAACTCAAACATGTCCAATCCGCCATAGCAGATGGTCGTCTTGAAAGGGAACCAGGCTTAAGTCATGTCATCTATCGCAAAATGAAGCAAGCTTTTTGAAGTACTTGTTATGGGAGAAAAAGGATGTTATGCTGAAATGGTTTCTTTTTTTTTGATGATGAAGAAGAAATCTTTGACATGTTTAGCTGCTGAAGTTACATCTAATGCTTCTGCTCTTCAGTCATTTGCATTGTCTGTCCCTGAGGCAAAATCACCCACGCTTGATGTGCAATTTAAAATTACTTTTTGTGACGATGGTGGTCAAGACAACAAGAATTTGTCCTGGAGAGCCAAAATAGATTGGAGCCTGGCAAACATTCTCGAATGTGAAGAAGTATTTATTTATCCCTTTTTTTTAAATCTATTTGCATATTAAATTATAATTTTGTAGGGTTTCTGGCCACCAGAAATAACAGCATAGGGTTAAAAATGCCTGGCGGCCAGATAAGTGAAATTGTTAAAGAATAAATAAATAATTACATATAGTCACATACAAAAACCCACTTAGTTGTACAATAGTGCATTTTGTAAAACAATTTTATCAATTTCAAGAGCAAGATATACACATGGAAGATCAATAGTGTTCTAAAAAGCTTTGTTTCATTTTAGATTTGAATAATACAATTGAGCAGGGCTTTAGATTCTCATCAACAGAATTCCAGACTGTAGGACCTTGAAATCTAATATAAAAAATGCCATAATTTGTTCTTGCTTTTGGTAGATAATAAGACTGTTTTGAAGCAAGCCTTGTATTATACTTATGTATTTTATTAACACTAATAAAGAAATCACGGTAGCCAATCGTTATGAAATTTATACGTAAATATTGAAATATGTAGTTTGACAAGATCAAAAAACTTTATAATGTTCAAATACTTGAATAATGGAGTTGAACGTTGATCGAAACTTGAAAATGTGATAATACGTACTGCTTTTTTTGCAGTATGTATAATGGGGTTAAGTGACATGGTATAAGTATTTCCTCAAACTATTATCCCATAAATTAAAAATGGATATATTAAAGAATAATAAAAAATTTTTAAAGTGTCTTCAGAAACATAATGCCTTATTAACTTTGATAAAAGGCCAATACTTCTTTTAACCTTCTTGCTAATGCATTCAACATGACTCTTCCAACTCAAATTAGAGTCAATAAATATACCCAAATACTTGATGGAAGAATCATGTTCAAGAGTGCAATTATTAATAGTTAATGAGATATTGTGGATTTCTATTTTCTTTTGTTGTGAGTGGAATATAACATACTTAGATTTTTCTACATTAAGAGATAGCTTGTTAGCACATAGCCAAGTATGATTTTTTTTAGTTCTAAATTAACATTAGCAAATAGTATTGAAATATTCTTATTTTCGCAAAACAAATTAGCATCATCTGCAAATAAGTGAAATTCAAAAAAATTGGAGCAAAGATGAAAGTCATTTATATTGATTATTGTTCAATAAGGTCATGCACAATCCTGAACATTGCCTATATGAGTTGTTACCGGAAGAAAGTTGACAACCTTTAAGAAAACGCGATCATCAATTTATGTTACCAAAAGTTTACACAGAACGTTTTAAACAATCATTTTTGAACAAGTGTCTTTTTAATGACTTTTAGTTTTAAAATTTTGTTATATACGATATATAATATTAACTATAATGCATGTAAATAATTTAATTTAGAAATAATACTAAATTTGTAAATAATCTAATTAACATTTCTCATATGCACTGAACGTTTTAATAATTACTATATATATATTTATATATATCTTATATGCACTGTAAAGATGCACGTTTGTTGCAACTTCAATTTTTAATAAAGACGTATAATAATAATAATAATAATAATAATAATAATAATAATAATATACAATAAGAACAATATAGGGCCAAGAACAGATCCCTGTGGAACTCCACATGAAATATTATGATCTGATGTAACAGTATTCACAGTGACAACTGATACCTTCGCGGCTAATTTGAATAACAAAGGTGTTAGTTTTTATTACTCACCCTGTATACACTTATAGTCTTATACAGTATAAAAAGGTCACATGCGACGGGGATAAATACAATAGTTGATTTTACAACTTGCATTTGAAAAGTAGATGTGTAATTTTCAACTTGCGCCGATTGCCAATGGTGTTGAGTATATTAAAGGTCTGTAAAAGTATGGAAAACAAATATTGAACTGATTTGAAGCATTATAATTTAGCATATTGATTCTGTGATTCAGTCCCGAGACATTATTCGTTCAATTTATACAAATTATCCGATTCAAATTTAAGTTGTAAAATCTGAAATCAACTTATTGTTATATGCAATAATCTTTCATATATTAAATATCAGTACCTCGATATATACCGCATTTTATATATGTGTCCCAGGGCAAGCGAAAACACAGATAGAGTCATAGGATATTTACTTGTACTAATTATCTCCAAGTGCACTAAATTTCCGGAGTGTCAGTTTAATTTACAGTCGTTAAAAATACAGAAATAGACCAATAGACACACATGCATTGAAATAATGTGCTTATAGCTATAACTTACATTTATTGTCAACAAATATAACAATTCTAGGTTTGATTTCTTCTTTTCATCACTATTTTCACTTGAATTTGAGTCACCGTACGTTTCTTCATCACAGCTCGCTTTGCTCCCATGCAAATGTTCACTTTCTGAAGTTTCTGACTCCCCTTTGTATGAATTTGTACGAAGACATTGTTGAAATAGTAGTGAAATACAATAAAAACATTCGGCGTGTTGAGTGAATGACGTCACATCCTCTTCAAAACGCCTTCTCGCTTAATTGTGCGCGTTTAATGGCAGCCGTAAAATTGGCAAATAAGAATCGTAAAAAGGAAGGTGAACGAATTTTGCCTTGAAATTTGGTAAGAATATCAAGCATGTTATATTTCTGGATTATGAAAAAAAATTTTAATGATAGTGCCACTTTAAGAAATTTATCAGAATTCTGATGTGAATCCACCTTAAGTAGATCCACATTAAAATCCCCCATAATGACACAAATTTAATTTTGTCGGTTTATCTTTTCAATTCCAGAATTCAAGTATTCAATAAAAGTATCCAAGTCACCTCTTGGGTGCCTATATACTACTCTGCATATTATACTTGCTTTTCCCTTATTTTGTATTTCTATCCAAAGAGCTTCAAATTCATCTTTTGAAGTTGTCAAATCAGGTATTACCTAATAGGATAAGCTATTTTTGACATAAAAACCAACACCACCACAGACATTCCAACTACTGGAGGTAAAATTTAGGGAGACTGTTCAGTGAATTGAAATCTAGTCCTTCTGGGAAAAAAATAATAGAAATTAAGTCTTCTGAAATGGCGTTTCCTGCATTTTGGGACTATGTTGTTATAAATGATCCTATAAATTGCCATAAAGTAACTTCAAAAAAGGTCCGAGACAGACTATTATGTTGCTAAAAACAGTATATTTATAATTTTTTTATGATATTTCCTGAATATTCTGAAAAATCGGGAGAATTTAATATAAATCGGGAGACCGGGAGATTGCATGAATTTTCGGGAGACTCTCGGTAAAATCGGGAGAGTTGGAATGTCTGCCACCAGCCATTGAGTGACTAGGTTGTGAAACAACCCACTATATCAATATTTGATACCTGAGGCTGATCTATTTTGACTTTTGTTTCAGTAAGACCAATAAGTGAAAATAAATAATACAGTTCAGATATCATATTAAGCAGCTAGGTTATCAAAATTTGTAGACAAGCTTCTAAATTGCAATGCAATTTCATATGTTTAGGCATCACAATCATAAAAAGTCCACGTTTAAGGCTATGTGGTAGTCCATGTGGGTTTGTAGTTGGCAGGCTAAAGTTGGCAGAATGCAGAACTCGACGCACAGTATGTAATTTCAGTTAATCATTACTTAAGACATTTAAGTTACTGCTAAATCAATATGCCCCTAACAAGCTACCTCTCCCTAAAATCCCACCTAACAACCCCTTCTACCCCTAGAAGAAAGTCCTCCTTACCCACAATAACATCATGATAAGTATATATTCGGCACGACAATTGTTATTTTTTTGGAAAAGGTGTCCACTTTCCCTTACATAATTTTTTTTCTTCTTTTGCAATGTTTCCAATACAATGTACCGCTTCTCGCTAATTGTTTTTCCTTTTCTACTTATTTTCCTAATTTTGCAAAGATGTTTCATTTATAGCCTGCAAAGGTTTCTAGCAGGTCTCTAGTCCAAATAGTTAATTTGTAATATTTTATTAATAATTGCAATGTACATGGGAAAATAAAATTTTAAAAAAATGCAATGCTGAAAAACATAGATATTAAAACACTCACTAATATGACTAATATCATAATCACTATGGAAGTCATTAGTGCTATAATATTTGAAATCACTAGCCGAAGGTATCTCAACATCAATATCTAAGTTAGAAAGGTGCTGTAAATTTCTAATAGGGGCAGCATCACTTAGATATGGATATGAGTTAGTGAGTTCAGCACACCTGTCGTCAACAACTGAGGTGACATTTAAGCATATTCAAGGCACGTCATATTATATAGATGATATATAAAAAGTAGACTTATCCATTTGTAAGTGAAATCTTTGGAAGATCCTCCTTGCATTTAATTTTGATAACATCACTATTTACATCCTTTCTCAAGTAAATGATTAATTCCGTTAAAGGTCCAAATAAATTTGTAATTCTTGTTTCTCTTCACATCTAAATAGCTTCTGAACAGAGCTTTATTTCATTCCATGAGACTTTCACCAAGATATATATAGTAGCCAATATCATTAGTTGTCTTGGATCGTAGCTTACCCGTTGCTCTGTAAAATTTTTCTTTTACTTCTCTCCTAACAAATTTTACTACAATCAGAGGTTCCTTTCTTTTACCTTTGTATTCTTTTAGCTAAGGTAATCGGTGGCATAATGATATGTCTTCTCGCTTAACATCAACACCAATCAGCTTACCAACATTACTAACAACAGCATTTACATTTTCACTTTGACCTGGTCCAGGGAGCAGGGATTCCGCAAATCTCAATACACTCCCTTGTCCATATTGTTCAAGGTCATTATGAGCTTGATCAAGGGTGGTAACTGAACGCTCAAGTTGTTGAATAGACATTTTCAAGATCTTATTCTCTTCCATAATAGACTTATTTTCCTTCTCAGAGGATTTGAGTTTTAAGTACAGTTCATCCCTTACGAAAATTTCCTATATGAATTCCTATAGGAATTGAAAATGGTCAAAAAAATTCCTATAGGAATTCCTATAGGCATTGAAAATTCCTGTTGGAATTCCTATAGGAATTGAAAATGGTGAGAAAAAAATCCTATAGGAAAAAATATTCCTATAGGAATTCCTATAAGATCAGAAAATTCCTGTAGGAATTCATATAAGAATATAAGATTTCAAAATGGTGAAAAAAATTCCTATAGGAAATAAAAATTCCTATAGGAATTCTTACAGGAATTTTAATTTCTTATACAATTGCACTATTCCTATATCGCATTTTATTCATAGACATTTATATTTTATTTATAATAAAGCAAATTATAAAGGAAATACCTCCAATCTTCTTTTGTGAAATTCGACCATGTGGTTCGGTAAAATTTGAATTTGCCGCGACAATATAAATGGAATTAGAACGCTGATATAAATATATTTATAGCATTTACACTTCAACAAAAGTTTTATATTTGAATTAGACTTATCCATGTTTATTGTTCAATATATTTGTATATGCCAAGTGCCAACTGTATATGCCAGATTAATTGTCAGCCATTAATGCATGCCTATTGAAAATTTAACTACTTGCTCAAATCAGCAGCAGCATTTATTCATATGTTTTGTTTAAATTAAACAATTTTCATTGTGAGAGGTCTTGTACCAGTCAGTGTATTAAAATTTGTTAGCCTTTTAGTGTAATGCCAGGAAAATTAACCATGTTTTTCTATTAAACATAACTATGTGATGGTATTCAAATTAACCAGACTCTCTACTTAGAGGCCCTGTTAGGGGGGGTACTAATGTCGCCAGTCTGAATTTCAAAACTTGTTATGTCGCGATTTGAGGACTTGGGTATGTCCCTGTCATTATTTCACGTCATTTAACCATGTATGCTATTTCTTAATAGGGTCCATTAACCAAAAATTCGATTGCATCAACCAGGACTGTTGACTATTTCACGATTGTGTATCAAAAACAATATATTACGAGGCGAGACATGTAGTGCTAGGAGAAATAATTCACTCTACGCTTACTAACGCCTGAAAACTTGTCAAAGAAAGATATTTATCACCATATATACTTGGTGTGTAAGTTACGTCATCGTCACCATGTTGGAAGATTTTTACAAAGGATTTTCCTCGTTTACAATTCAAATGTCATCCAACATGGTGGAAATCGCTTTGTCTTTTGAATCCCTTGAGATTCTGAGATTGGTTGCACACCGCGAATAACGCAGCAACAGTGCATGCTGGGTATCACGGCGAAAATACAAACCAAAAAAGAAAGCATAAAATGTAATTCACTTACAACTACAGACGATAAGAATGCATTCTTTATTTTTTATTGCAAGATAAAACAAGTTTAGTCCCTTTTACAAATCCAACCGATTAGGCGGTACCACTGTCCTGCCAGATGATGTCCTTATTGGTGTGGACTCCACATATACACCTATATCTTCATTTTCTGACTCAGGAAACTCTTTATAGACTGTATCACTTTGGCTTTCCTGAACTTCAGGTAAAAGATCTTCGACATTACGAAGGTTATTTAGCAGCTCCTCGTAATAATTCTCAGACAGTTTTACTGAGCCTGGTTGTTGATCAAAATCATTTGCATCAACTATTCGTAATATATTGTCGCGATGAACATTCACGTCTCCATAATACTTGAACTCCAAACAATCTTCAAATGTAGGCACAAATAAGTTGATGTTAAAACAGGGACTGTGCTTGTCATCAGGGACATCAGCTGTAACAACACCAAGAAAAAATTGACACTTTACAGATACTCCACGAATGTGATCATTCACAATTACAACCGTGTCCATTTGAAATAAAATGCCACAAGTACTTTCACAAGGAGGACTTCGTTGATTACCCTCATCTTCAGGTCTCACATGGTGTGGGAGGATCAGCAGTATAAGCAAATAAAGGCAACGTCCCAACGTTATCCTTCGTAGTTTGATTTCGCACTGTCCGTTGACGTACAGGTTTTCCAAAGCTGTCTCACCAATCTCTCATCAACTTCTCATCTTCTTTTGACATTTTTACTGACGAAGGGAAAGCAATTGTAGGCAATTCCCTAAAAGTGCATTCCTTCGTAGTATGAGGATGCTGAGGTATAGTATTTGAATCCAGTGTGCGTAATCTGTTTCAGTGACTCTTGAATGGTAGGGCTGAAAAGGTGAGCAAATTCGATCACAGTAGGCATGTCATTTCTAGAACGCATTTGGCTGAAGAAGTTCTCTACGACAAGGGTAAGGGTTGATGCTAGCTTCATGTGATTGTGGAAAGCTGGATTGATTTCGTTAATAAAATTTCCAAGAGATGACAGAGACCTTTTTCAAAATGTTCGTTCTACGTCGACTCTTCCATGACACGGTTCCTTGTGGGCCGTGTGTGGCAACTTTCTTGCCAATGACATTTTGCACTTCGTTGATCCATTGATTGCATGTTGAAATGATACCATTCAGGGACGCCAGAGCCTCGTCAAGAGTATGTTCTTCCGCCTTCATCCCCTTCAAGTGGACTCCAAATATCTTGTAGAGTACATCGAACATCTCGAGAAATTTGCATAATGAGTTGGTGGGAGTGATCATTCTTATAGCTCCAACAGCTGTGTCATTAACGTAAATAGTTTTTCCTTCAGTGCACAAGGCTGTTTGCTGAGAGAAGGAGGCACAATGGCTTGAGCCATCATTTGAGCTATCTTTTCCAGATCCAGCAAGTATTTTAATTGCTGAATGCAAACAATCGGATGGTGTTTGCAATAGTTCTCGGACAACACGGGAACCTCTGTCAGCAAATATAATTTTACCATCACTTGTATAATCGAGGCCATGCACAATTTGGCAGTTGGGTGTACCATTTTTCACAATCATAACAGCTTGTGAAGTTGCCAGGTTGAACTTGGTAATACCACCGTCATTTCCCGAATCACCGATATACACGTTACCATCAAAGGCCAATCCAAAAGGCTGTGAATTCACTGGCAATCTGAGAAGTAAGTTAACTCTTCCTTGCAGACATGCGCCATTGTTAGCAATGTCCACTTGATAAATACCGTGAGAATTACTGTCAGTCACTATGAGCATATCTTTAGCGACAGCAAGGGGGCTCATGAGGTCACGATCTAGAGGCAGCTTGTTAAGGTCCGAAAGACAATAGTTGACTTTTTTCTCTCGTTGTTGATCCATTTGGTTAAAGCTTCTACCAAATCTTTCTTCTTGGAAGCTTCACGGACCTGGACATCTATTTCCTCAAGTTTCACACGAATATCTTGAACTTTCATTTTCTTGGGCTCCAGGAACACTGATAGAACAACAGCTTTATAAGCAATCCTTCCGTAACCTGTGTCAGCCACATACACAACTCCACCAGAATAAGTTACACCATTAGGATTCTTTAGTGACTTTGACACTTCTGAGACATCAATGGGATAGTGAAGGCGTGCCAGAAACAGACGGCACACCTTTTGTTGTCGGTGATAAAAAGATTACCATGATCAGCGACACAGACGCCTGTAGGATTCTCCAGAACTCCCTTGGAATTTCCCTTGTATAGGCGAAACATCTCAGGAACTATAGTCTGAACAATCCCTGGAATTTTGTCGAGGATAGCTCTTACGGATGGCTTAGCTATGACTAGCAAATCTTTGACCGACATTCTATCACAATTACGGATAGCACTGAGTGTTGTGGTATTGGTGCATCTCACGTTTGATGGTTTCATTTGCATCATTGTAAAGCACACAAAGATTTGACAGATTGAACCTTTCACCACGAAAATATAAAAACCAGTTAGCAAAGGCTGATTTAAAACATTTTCCAAGATGAACTGCTTCTGGAACAGGATTTAGGTACTTCAAATCACTGCCAACTGCACTATCTTGTGAAAGGCTGATGATCTTTTCCATGGCTTGCTTGTTGCTTTCCTCTCAATCTGCTGTCCACACTAGAACAAGCAGCTTCACACATTTGGACCCGGATTCCAGACATCGGTCACAGGCACGCAATACACTGTCTATGAATTTGTGTCCCTTCTCATAACAAGTTGGACAGACTGATTGACACTCCAAGCATTCTAAAACGAAAAGAGTGAACAAAACTGTTTTCAAACCAAGCTAATGACTCTCCTATAAATGTACGACGGCGATTTTTAAATACTACCGGTATATATGAAGCAATAATATACTATGTACCTGAGCAATGGCTTGTGCATGATTCTCCTAAAGTTGCAATGACGTTCATTTCTGTTGTTATGTCTTGCATTAAACATCGAAGATAGATCTGCAGCTGCTTAACCCGTTTGTTTATTGTATCCACTTTATCATCTCCAGAGACACGTTTTCCGCTATATTCTAACGCAACAGGAAGGGATAATCGATTATCGAGTGAGGTGACATTTTCACAATTGACTTCAGTAACAAACTCTGTCTTAAGGCCCTCTGGTTTGGGGGACGGATTCATTTTGACATAGTCCAGATCGACTGGAAAAAGAAGTCCTACAAGGTTCTTCACGCGTGTATCAAACTGTAGACCCGGTTTGATAGCAATTCCATCGGTAGCAAAACTAACTGGAATGGTACGAAGACTTGGCAAAAGTCTACTAAAGGAACCACATTACTTTCTTCCAACTGCACAATTAGCAGAAAGGTTATTAAAAGACTTTTGATTATACCACTCTTTGTCGCATATCCTGCCTTTTCTTTGTTCCTAGTAGATTTTGAAGGAACAAAAGGAAGGTTCCAATCATTCCAATGGAAAGTATACTTTCCACCTTTTTGCTGTCCCTTGAAACCCGGACCACACAATAAATTCATAACCCTGTCCTTGCCATGGAATGCGAGAGTTTCAGTGAATAATGTAACGTCCTTGCTGTGGCTAAATTGCGTTTGAGGGTCGCCCGACTTTTGTGCAAACTCTAAAGCATTTGCAAGCATCTTATAGAAAATATGATCTCGCGGAAGGTTTCCACTTTGAATTTCTCTTTGCAGGGCAACAACAACTGGATCCAGATCTTCTAATGCTCTGTAAATTCATAGGAATTATGTATATCATCTATAATTATTAGAGCAAAAATTTGGAAATCTTAAAAATCAATGGTTTTAAACGAAACAGAGAATATACGATCACTGTCATCACTCACATAAATCCAATGTTGATAGTATCATTTTCATCAGTACTATCCTTGTCAATTGTTTGGTCTGATAAATCCTCGTCGGCAGAACAAAAATCTTCGCTCTCCATATTTTCTCTTAATAAATGAAACAGATAAAACAACAGGTAAACTGCTTATCCACTTTATTGCTCTTTAATTTCAGATTTATTTGACAAATATGTTTACAAAGCATACTACAAAGAGAAAAAACACAATTGTCTATCACAAGTTGCTTTAGAAACTGAAACAATCAATCAAACCATGGATAACGAAAGGGATAAGGGAAGCCTCACATATCGATTCTGTCCACGAGAAACGTCATATGTTTGTTTCTCTGGAGACTTGCTTAGAAACGTCACACATAGTTATCGATATTCTGTAATAATTATATGAACTTAAAAATTTCCAACGTTTCTCAAAACAACTTTAATTCGGTCAAGTAAAAAGTTGTATTACTGTGATTATTTTAACTCATATTACAATAACATGAGTAAAAAGTGGGAAGGAATAAGGGAAATACTAGGGCGCAATAGCAAAACTAAAAAGAATATCAATGCTGTTCGACAAGATTCAAATGCCCAATTAACATTTGATCCCACAAAGATATCAAACATAATAAACCATCATTTCGCTTCTTGTGGTCAACGATTAGCTGCAAAAATACCTCATTCTGAAAAACATTATTCAACATATCTTCCTGACCAAATCATGTACAATTCCACCAATGCTTCCCAACAACAAGGGTCTTTTGCTTTTATCCCAGTAACAGCTCGAGATATTGAACTTGAAATTATAACATTACCTGCCAAAAAGGCTGAAGCCTGTATTCGTGCCCTTATCGAATCTTAAAAAGTGCCCAACATGTTATTAGCAAGCCTTTAGCAGATATCTTTAATTGCTCCATTGAAACTGGAATATATCCCAGCAAACTTAAAATTGCAAAAATTATACCAATTTACAAATCTGATGACGAAACTGACCCAAATAATTATCGCCCAATATCTCTTCTATCCTCATTCAATAAAATTTTTGAAAAAAATTATGTATAAACGCTTACAAAGTTATCTAGCTAAGAAAAATTTTTTCTGTGATTCACAATATGGTTTTCGTAAACAACATTCAACCCAACATGCTATTCTTGATATTATTAACAAAATTCAAGATAATATGGATAGAAAAATGTACTCCTGTGGTATATTTATTGACCTAAAAAAGGCATTTGACACAGTTGATCATGATATTCTGTTGGGTAAGCTAGATTATTATGGTATTAGAGTAATCAATAACTGGTTTTCTTCTTATCTTAAAAATCGCACGCAAACTACTTTAGTTGGAAACTGTGTATCTAACAAAGAAACTACCTTGTGTAGAGTACCCCAAGGCTCAGTTCTTGGACTTCTACTCTTTTTGATCTACATCAATGATATTTGTGAGTCATCGGAGATTTTCAAATTCTTTCTTTTTGCTGATGATACTAACTTATTGTATGCTGATAAAGACCTAAAAATGCTTGAAACAGTTGTCAACGCTGAATTAACGCTTTCTCAGCCGGTAGTTTCGTATTACATTTCGATTCAATTTTTCTAATATAAATATCTCGGCGAGTATTTACCCCCCTTTTAAATAAATGCCACCATTGAAATCCTCACAATATAACCTTTCGAACGGGGGGTCAAGTGCCGTCAAAACATTACACAAACCGAAACAATCATATATTTATACTCACCGCTTCGCCAAACATTCAAACGAGAAAAAGTTGAATAGATTCTAAACTTTGGCGACATTTTCTGAAAGGATATATGTGTAAAATACTCTTTGTATTCAAGCGCTTTCGTGTAGAAAGTTTCGTATGAATACGGCGAGTAGAAATATTTATTTTGAATTTTTCAAGGTATCGGGTTTTACTCGCACGCGCTTGTATTACGTAATACTTGGCCAATAAGGAGCTCCCTTTAGCCGGGATGACGTCAAACTCACGCGTATAGGTGCACTTTGTAGAATCCATTTCTGGCATTTCCAGAGTCACGCGATACAAACTTCGCATTGTTTTGACGGTTTTTCGTCGTATTTCCGGTTGGGATTAACGCAAATTCGGGGCAGAAATGCAAAATTCGGCAAGAAAACTCACATTTTAAAGATAGAAGCTTGAAAATAACAGTATACATGTTATTTTTAACTGCTTCATTCATCAAGACTACCAGAATGAGCATACGTCTAAAGGGGCCGAAGTTATGTTCGGCGAAAGGTATGTCTATGTTTATAATTTGTTAGTAATATTGTGTAATTTGATCAAATACCAAGCTCGCTTGACTTTCAAAGCTCATAAATCGCTACAATTTAGCCACTGACTAAAACTATCGTTATAAATTAGTGTATATTTTTATACTGAATCGAATGGTGGTATTTTCATCTACATAGCATGCACTGAACCAAAGATGTTTCATTGACGATGAAAGGACTTCATGTAAGACTATTTTAATGTTTTAGTTAGTCGGAGTTTACTCGGACCTTAGTCGGAAGGGTTCGTAGGAAAAATGTGATGAGCTTGTAGAAATGTTTTGAACACGTTTTCGTATGGTTTTAAGAAGTTTATAAAGTTTTAAGTAAGGTTTATTATTGTTAAATGTTAAGATAAAAGGAAAAGGATACTTGCTTAGGACAGATGTAAGTAGAAAGCCTTAGTTAATTCATTTTTGTGATTTAGTACTAATTTAATATATGTAAACATACCGATTTAATTTCATTATTATTTAGTTTCAGATTGTTGTTATTTGTGAATAAATCTTACTACTGAAATCCCAAGCGTGTATTGTATTATTGGATTATTGTATGTTAGCTCCAAGTTATCGTCGGTCCATTATCTGAAAATCTTGGTGTCTATTTAACGTGCTGATCGTGGTTTGGAGCTATTAAAGTATTAAAATGGATAAAGATAAAGTCAAGAATATTCGACGGGCTGCAAAAGGCACATTAACGAGGGCATTTATCGCTTGTAAGAATCTTATTGATGCTCAGCGCCCTGTTGTCGAAGTCAAAGAAGCGTGTGATGTTGTTAAAAATGCGTATAATGGTCTGGAAGTTAAGCATGAAGAATTTACAATGGTGTTAGATGACACCCAATATGACGAAGCTGAGGAATGGATGCAAGCTTGTAACAGTGAGTACATGAAGTTTTCTATGATGTATAATGATTATTTGAATGCCAATGTTGCTGAAAAGGAAAATGATGATGTAGTAAATCAGGCTATAAATGAAGATGGAAATAATGCAAATGTGGACGGTGAGAATGATGAAAACAATAGTGTAAATGATGACCAGGAAAGTTTAGATATGCATGAGCCTGCTGAAGACGAACTAAGTAGTGTGACAAAGAATGTGAAATTGTCAAGCCCCTTTGCCATGAAACACGAGAAGCCAAAACTGCCCAAATTTGATGGAGATGTAAGACAGTACTTTATTTTCAAGTCAGATTTCCAGCATGCTGTAGAAGCCCACTGTTCTGAAAGGGACACCCTTACAATTCTTCGGTCGTGTCTTAATGCCCAACCAGCAAAGTTGATCGAAGGGATAAGTTCAGATTTGAAAACAGCATGGAAGTACCTAGATCAAAACTATGGGAATCCAAGAGTGGTGTCAGACACAGTCACGTCAGATCTAGAGAAATTTAAGATAATCCAGCCTGGTGAGGATTATCGCTTCTGCGAGCTTGTGAATTTAGTGCGAAGATCATACAATATTCTGAAAGAAGTCAAGAGGAAACAAGATATCGACAACACCCATGTAATATCCTTGATAGAGAGAAAGATGACCAAAGATGATCTTCGAGTATGGTCGCGCCATATCAACAGTCGTAAGCTTGAACCGTCAATGGAAAATCTTCTTGAATGGATGGAGGAGGAGATGACAGCCCGAATACGTTCTTGTGCCACAATCCGTAAGAACACTGGAACCAGATCAGGGGTAAATGCATTTGGTTATAGAGAATCGAAAGGGGGGGAAGTCAAATCGAAATGTTATGTTTGTCAGGAAAATCATTATGTAGATGAATGCAAAAAGTTTATCGATATGACCCCCAACGAAAGATGGAAAGTCGTAAGGGAGCAAAGAGCATGTTTTTCATGTCTAAAAAGAAGTAAAGGTCACACTGCTGTGAACTGTACTCGAAGGAAAGAGTGTGGTCAAGCAAATGGGAATGGTGACAACTGTAAGAAATACCATCACAAGCTGCTCCACTGCAACAACATCGAAGAGAGAACAGGTAACCGTGTCCATTCCACCCGAGATAACAGCAGTACTACTATACTCCCTGTAATTACTGGTTTAGTTAAAGGAAAGGACGGTGTTATGTCAGAAGCTAATGTATTTTATGATAGTGGTGCCCAGATCTCTATGATTCGCAGAAGTTATGCGGAAT